TAGCTCTAAACGGCTCAATAGGCACACACTATAGACACTAATTAGAAGAACAAAGACTAAAACAGCAATGTACAGAGGAATCAGATGATTAAACATGATCGTAAAATATATTTTAAGAAGAATCTTTTTTGCATTTTTTTGTAATTATTATTTTAATATTTTCTGCTGACACTAGGTGGGGCTGTGCCCCCAATGACCAGTCACCACTGCCAACTGAGCACCTATTTATTCATGAAACTAAACTCTTATTGTTTTATTTTGTACAGCCCTGTGCTGTGTTTTCTCAGTTCAGGACTACGACCGGTTCACACAGAAATCTGATATTGGGTACATTTATAAAGAAGTTTGATCTGACAGTAACGTTACTGTACATGCAGGATAGCTTGTAGTACATACTTAGGTAGATATTATTGATGTATACAGAACTCCAGAGGCATGGGATTGAGCTCCATACAGGACTGACCTGTTTCATCTTAGCCAGCTCTCGGCGTGTGTGATCGTCATTACGCAGGTCTTTCTTGTTCCCCACCAGAATGATGGGCACGTTGGGACAGAAGTGCTTCACCTCAGGAGTCCACTTCTCCGGGATGTTCTCTGCAACGAGCACAAGAGGTACAAGTTGAACATGGAGCAGATGCAAACAGAATGTGTGTGAAACTAAGGAGGAGAGGAGGAAGTCTCACCCAAGCTGTCGGGGCTGTCCACGGAGAAACACATGAGGATGACATCAGTGTCGGGGTAGGAGAGGGGCCTCAGCCGGTCGTAGTCCTCCTGACCCGCCGTGTCCCAGAGGGCCAGCTCCACCTGCAACACCACTGCATTACTGCCAGGGAAATCACTGCGAGGGGCGGGGCCAAGGAATATATCAATCTATAAAAGCAGTTTTAGTAGTTTATATACTTACTTTTTCTACATTCTTATGCTTATAGTTATGATGTTTAAGATGAATGCCTTTGCTGGTATATCTGAATTCAAACTATTATGTGTAAACTCATTAGATTTGTTATGTTTTACCTCTAAAAATAAAAGATAAAAGATTGATCTGGAACTCCTGCTTGTGATAATCTGTAAAAACAGTGCATTGACTTTATCCTTAAACTCCTTAAGCTCCTTACACACCAAAGAACACGTCCCGACGGAATGTCGGCTCACGTCGCCTCACGACTCCTGCGTCTTGGCCATGTTTTGGCCATGCACTGGAACACACCGCAAAGACTTCAGCCGACGGCCAAGTTGCACGTACGAACCACGTGAGGCGACGTGAGGCGATGTTCCGTCGGGACGTGTTCTTTGTTATCAGTTTGGTGTGTAAGAGGCTTTAAACCTTACCATTCTCACAAGACAACATAATCCCAAACTTATTTTTCTTTATATCTTAATTTAAATGAAATGACATGAGCTCAGAGGCATGCAGAGAATATGATTTACAATTTATTCCCTAGATCTTTACTGTGATTTACATTAAGAGATCTCTCTATTATATATGCATCATGTAAGGAAAACAAATTCAAAAATGGGTTCTATGTGAATGTTATGTGTTTGTAAAACTGTCATTTACTCTACATTGGCCATTTTATGAATGATTAGAAAAGATTGACCCATTTAGAATGACAAATGGAATGTCTTTCACAGAGCGATTACTCTTTAAATGTTGGGTTCATATGATAAAAGTGGTGTGTGTTTTCCTAAGTAGCCTAGCTTAGCATAAAGACTGGCAACAGGGGAAGACAGTTAGCCTGACTCTGTCCATAGTATTATATTCAAAATCTCCAATTTGTGATTTAAAAGACATGCTGGAACTTGACTGAGGCCAGATTTCTGACTTCTCAAAGTCTTGAGATTCGCTGGTTTCCAGGCAACCATGTGACATGAAAAGGCCTGCATTCAGCTGTCATTATCCAGATGACCAATCAGATGGCGATGGGGTGAGGGAGAAACTTTAGAGGTTTCTCAATACTCTAATTTCCCCTCCTCGACTCCTCGGTCCTCCGGTAGTGACCCGGAAATGGTTTTCGGCGCGCCATGTTGAAGGACATCTCATTTCTCTAAATGCAAATCGAGGACCGAGCATCGAGCGTCGAGGAGGCTCTCTGGAGGAGCTATAACCGAGGATACACTGATGGGTCCTCCACGGCTTCGTGGATGCATTTCCGTGAACATAGATGTTTAAAAGAGTCGTGATGCACGGCCGGACTTATCTCAGCCAATGACAGCTCTGCATGCATCCCCTGGATATTATTTTATTAACTGCTTTCATCGCGACGCGATGTTACCAGTGAGAACAGCTGTGAGGTCCGTGCAGAAAGCAGAGCAGTGTGTATAATATATATCACTCAGTATAACAGACCTACTCTCTTTATTTGCTGTAGTTTAGTAGATATCTACAAACAAAGAGTTGATATTTTTCTAAGACCATTTAGTGCTTCACATAATAAAATACACAACGGCTGTAGCCTGATTATACTGCTTTAGGAGCTGTAGGTGTGTGTGGTACAGTGTGTAGATGTGTGTGTGTGGTACAGTGTGTAGGTGTGTGTGGTACAGTGTGTATATGTGTGTGTGGTACAGTGTGTAGGTGTGTGTGGTACAGTGTGTAGATGTGTGCGTGTTGTACAGTGCGTAGATGCGGGGGACAGACGGGTCTCAGTTGGTTTGGTGTCCTCTGCTTACTTTTAATACTTGTAAATACAACTTTTGGCCCGTAATTTCAATTCCCCATTTCAGCGACCAGAGAGGGGGGGGGATATATCCAGTCTCTGATAGTGTTGTGTGTCTGCATCTGTAGCCTGTTATTGTCTCATTACACCGCACTGTGAATGAATCAAAGTAAATA